ACAAATGCTACCATCGGTGATTTACCTAATGAACATAGCAATATTTTGCTTCATAGACACCCATTGTACATCAACGATGACTGTCTTGTGTCCACGGACTCCAATGCGATGGTTACCTTTGTAAGTCCAGATATGCAACGAGCCGTCGGAACAACCGGTCAATATCCTGCGAAAAAGCATAATTTTCTATATTGAAAAAGTTCCGCAGATTATCGTTGTTGATCTGTGTTTAACAAGCTATGAGAATAACCATTCTTCGCAAACGGCAACAGCGCTTACGGTTTGGGTATGCTTAAGCTGTCTTTGTATCCTCGGTTTCGAATACTCTTTACCGAATGTAACAGTTTTTACTCCCTCCGTAGAAGCATTTTTGTCGTTCCGTTCGACTTTTTGGCGCTGTTTCTTCGGTTTCGCGTGCTTGGCAATGTCTTTGCACAATTGCGCAGCCATGTGTTTCACCAACAACTGTTCCTCGGCATTCAAACTTTGTAAATTGTACGTCGTCTTTCGGGTATACGGTGACCCCTCATGGCTACTCGGTTGAGAGTTGTCGACTTCTATATTATTCTTATACAACGAAAATTCTGTACAGAAACGATTCAACATGTTGAGTAAGGTTTCCGAATAATCGTGTAGCTTAACACGTTCAGCGCCGACAATCGCGACCACTAAAATTCCCACGAAATCGAAGCAATTTAATTTACTAAACCGAAATTAGAAAGTTAAAATTTATCATTGAATCTGTTATAATGAAAATGAATGTTAAGAAAATTGCTCGGAAAATTAGTGTCACCCTATATTTGACCGATGCGGCGTTCAACGTGTTAACCCTTTGCACTCAAAGCTATTCTAATTGTATTTTAAACATATTTTCTACGGTGTTTCTATTTTACATGATTTATCGCGATTTATGCGTGTAAAAGCCTATTGGCGAGTAAAGAACTTGCAATTTTAAGAGTCTTTTAGATATAAATAATATAAATATATATAATTATATAATTATATATATATATATATATAATATATAAATATATGTATAAATATATATATAATATATATAAATAATATCTGTTACTATTACAATTATCTTGTAAAATAGTATAGCAATTTTTAGCGGCGCCTCCGAGTCGCCACGAGGCGTGCAAAGGGTTAAAAATGATTGTGACAAGTACTGTAGCCGTAGTCGAATGTATTGTCCTCGCGCTTCTTGAGCTCCGTCTCGATCCACGCTGAGCCATATCCATGAATTGTCATCTCCAACGGCAGATATTCGTCGCCATCGTCTCGTTTAACGAACGGTCCTATTTTAATCGCAACATTGCAGTCGTGCGACTCGTTCGCGGCCATTCCTTAAACATATACTATCAATGTATATACATAATTATACAGTGTGTCCTGCAAGAGCATGTAATCATGTGTCAGCTTTTTGCGTCAGCTGTACTGTAAACAGAGCAACGGTAGGAGTAGCCGTGCGGCCGAAAACAGAACGTAAACATTGCAGAGGACAACGAATGTGAAGGCTTTAAACGATAAACGGTCACTTCGCGTGCTGGCTTTTCAACTGTGATTTTCAAACTCGATTTTCTCGAAAACGAAGCCACGAATTTTATTCCTTACGAATACCGTTCACTGTTACGCTGCTGCTGTTCGAGAAAACAACGCCGGACAGAGAACAGCGAGGCGACGTATCCCCTTACCGCGAATTTGTTGGATCAACTCGTGACAACGACGATCTCTCGAACGACAAACTGGTTCCTTCGAACGTCCAGGCGGCCGATATCGCTTCTCCAGAGCCGAGATTCGATCGGTTCAACGTGAACTTTACGCACAAAGAGCTGGATAGATCGAACGGAACGAACGTTAACGCTTTAGTATGGTTTATCACCGGCACGCGACACTTGCACCTACTTACAGGCTTGGTCCTACTCGTACGGGTGGCCGCTTCTGCACAACGCAAGCGGGAACCGAAGCGACGTCGAATTCAAAGTCTGCGTGGTGGGGGGTTGGCGTCTGCGTACGTTGTCGCGAGCTAACCCCAAAATTATTTGAACCGCTCGGCCGCGTCGATCCGTTATTAAGATCGATTTTGCACGCGTTTTTTCATCGATCACACTGGGCGTAGTTGTTCTAGAATTATTCTGGAATGTGCGGAATTTACGAATATGTTTCACGAGCGTTTCAACCTGAATCGTAGGCGAAATATTTTAACGGGCTTTGTCACTTGTTTTTTCTCAGCGTCCAAAAAACGTCTACGAATACGATGAAACTTACACGTATTTTTAAGCATAGCGTAATTGATCGACTGTTTTTGTACAATCCCTATATTTTTACTGGGGATTATAAGTATTTTATATATATATGTAAATATAATAAATTTTATAAATATATAAATATTTATGCAATTAATTTTAGGGAGCACGGTTGTGAACACACAACTTATTTATTCATATTGTTAATTAAATGATCGTCAAAGTTTGAAAAGATGCCGAAGTGCGCAATATTTTTGCATATTTACGGGAATTTGTTTACCTGACAAGAAAACTGACCGCGGCATTTGATTCTGTAAACATTTCTGAAGATGCGACTGTACGGAACAAGTGTCGAAGCGATTTTAAATTCGTACCGGTCGAGCTGCGCATGCGCGGCGTTTCGGCGCCGCGTGATCTGCTGCTCACTTCTCTCGACTCGGCAGTGCCGTAGCTATGCGTGTTCAGCACCGATAGAGGCATCCAGTAGGGCGCCCATTTTGTGCGAGTAACGTTTAATTTTTTCTCTAACATTTATCTGCTGAAAAAGACGTATAAAACCGTTCTATGCAATCCCAAGCATAAAAACAAATAATAATAATAAAGGTTAATGAACAGTTGTTGGACTTTCGTGTATCATTGTCGGTTCAGAAAATATTACAACTTGTAATTTCTTTTTTGCCTCGAAGATGACAGCGCGTATTAAGCCGTCACTATCATTAAATGTCACAGATTTCATTTTACAACTTCATTTTACAAATGTTACATTGAAAGAATGTTTCATATTTCTATGGAGGAAACCGGTGTATTAATTATTACCAGAAAATAATCCGTCATTAATTGCAATATTAAAGCTTCGCTTTTCTTTTATTGTATCCTTATACATAGCCCGAGTATATTAATAATGTATATGTATATATATATATATATATATATTCATATATTTATATCCATATTTATATGTATAATAGTATGTATATCTTCGTCGCATGTAGGCGTGTTTCTCCTGTTGATTTCTATCGAGTTTACAACCGCCGTTGCATGTATGTATATATGTATATGTATGTATGTACGTATGTATGTATGTATGTATGTATGTATGCATGTATACATGTATATGTGTATGTGGTTGTGTCTGATTCGCAGCGTGTGTGTGTATGTGTGTGCGTATTTGTCTATGCGTATCTATTTATATATATACGTATATACAGTCATCCATTTTAAATATTTCAATATAACATCGTCAACCAATAATTTATTTCGCTTAAGCTACACATACGGGGATTTGCAGTTACCCCTTTACTCCGACTTTTTATGTATTATGCACGCATTGCAAATTGCATTCTCGATTCGTAATTAATTTTTTTTCATTACACACGTTTGCCTCTCTCTCTCTCTCTCTCTCTCTCACTCTCTTTCTCTCTATGCCACTCTCATACACACACTTTCCTCTTTTTTGTTTGTTTGTTTGTTAATTAGTTAACACGAAGTCTCACTCGTTGAACAGCTCTCGAAGACCTAAGGACACCCAAAGCGGATCACAGTCTGTCTCTGCACTCGTTGAATCTTAGCCAAACTCCCGGAAAGGAAATCGGAATTGAAAGAAGATATTACAGAGAGGGTGCACACAACACAACACAAAAAATGTCTCCACTTCTTCGTCGCGATGAATCCTCGGATATCCCTGGCTCGGCCGACCATAAATAATCAACTCGTCTACTAATCGTCGTCGACCGATCACGACGACGCGCATGCGACTTTTACAAAGTTATCTTACGTGTACATATTTCTTTTTTTTTTGTTTACGTCTATGTGTCACAGTTTCCGTGTAAATTTGTACAATGTATCAAGCCCCTCCGGCTACGGGAGCGCGGGCCACCGGTGCCCGGGTCATTTCTGACTCGCGCACTTGATATATTCCACCGACGTGACTCCGGCACGGTAGACGGAGGGTTGATAAAAATTCTTGTAAAAAAAAAGAAACTTTTCGTTTGTTTCTTCCTTCCGAAGTGAAGGTTCAATTAGCTCGCAGGATGTGAAATGTACGTAGATAAAACGTTTACGATTACAAAGTGAACATTTCGGTAATGTTAAATAATATATATATTATATTTTTATATATTATTTATATTACTTATATTATTATTATATATATATATATATAATTAATATAATATATATAATATATAAGAATATAATAATTATATATATATATATATATATATAAGTAAAATAAAATTCGGTTAATTAATAATGCGTTTACAAAGAATTGAACAACGGCTCCAGGGTCATCGAGACGAGATCTTGGTCCTAACGAACTTAGAATTCGACGAGCTCCAGTGTTCGACAAAAGATTCTTAGAGGGATCTTACTTTATTCGACTTTATGTTATAATAACCCTTTCTCGACTGTGTCCCGTTAAAAAAGTCTTTTAAAATCAGACGTGCCAAGTGTTCGCCCTCCGAAATTCGTATCGTACACTTCTGTTTTACTGTGTTTCATCTATCGAACCTCTTAATGTATGTATACAGGGTGTCCCAAAAATGTCTCGTAATAATGGAAATGGCGGGTTCCTCGGATCATTTGAAGCAACTTCTTCATTTACAAAAATGTTCTCCGAGGCACCGTTAACGAGTTACCAACGAAAGAACAGCGACCAATAAGAATCGAGTACGGCTGACGCGAGGCGGCCCAGCCGACCGGGGCGCGAAGCCCAGTTCCGCTCATTGGCTCGGTCGCCCCGCGCCAGCCGAGCTCGCCTCTCATTGGTCACTGTTTTTCGTTAATAACTCGTTAACGGTGCCTCGGAAAAAATTTTTGTAAAGGAAAAAGTTGCTTCGAACGACCCGAGGAACCCGCCACTATCGGATTGCGAGACATTTTTGGGACACCCTGTATTTCTGAGCAGTCGCCATATTGCTCGTCGCCAAAACGGTAATATTAATATACATATATATTAGTAAAAACTAACAATATTTCTAACTGGTGAACTGTAAATAGGTTCTGAGAGAGAGCTTGCTTCCGTTATACACTAGTCTCGCTCTATAAATATGAAAGATTGCATTGAAAGGGTTAAAATATGCGTAGATAGTATTTGTTTCCTGTACCTGCGCGAAGTTTATACAGTAATGTCTCCCTTACTGACGCTCAGATTGTCCACTAAAATGGATCATTTAGAAAGAGGAGACACGATTATTCGAGCCTTGCGGTTCATTTTTATAATTGTGAACAATTTATAACTATAAAAATAATCGTATCTGTTCTTCCCAAATTGTCAATGTTAGCGGACAATCTGAGCGTCAGTAAGGGAGACATTACTGTATTCACATTTCTGCGGGGAAATAGAATCGAATTGAACACTGGAGGGTTCTGCTCCTTGAAATCTATTCGCTATCGTTTAAACATTCGCTTAAATATGTACACACCAAGACATCGAGCGATTCGGAGCTCACGAATTTGAAAGCAGAAACAAAGTAGTAGTAGTAGTAGTAGTAGTAGTAATAGTAGTAGTAGTAGAAGAAGGAATTTCTTTGGACGCAATTTTGTGGCATTTTCGATCGGGATTCGATCGGGTCAGAGAATCGCGGACACGTTGTTTCTTTCTTTTTTCTTTCTTCTTTTCGTTTTTATCATTTTTGCCTTAAACGATAATTCCACTATGACAAGTCTTAACGAGAGAAAAAACGACGCGAAGGATTGTCTGGATATAAACGAAGACCCGGATTATCATTCGACTTTCATTTTGTGAAATGCGATCGAAGAACCTTTTCTCTCCGATATACTTATTAAGTGTGATTACATTTTATCGCGCTTGCTATACGTTGGAATAACTCTGTGTGTGTATGTGTGTGTCTGTGTGTGTGTCTAAATATCATGAATAGCGTGTACACAATGATCAATACGTATGCGAATTTTGCACGAGTTTAATATGCGAGAAACGTTTACGTCGATTCGAAAATGGCGGCCCTTAAGTCGCACCGAATTTTCCATTTATATATTCGTGTTGTTAATTAGTATGTCGCAGTATCGCCGAACAGAGGTGATTATAGCGGGAGAAGCGACACCGATGATAACGAACATAATCGGTAAATTGGTCGTTCTTGGTACACACAGCGTTTGTGACTCAGGATGTGCGATAAATCTTGTATACAATATTTTTATATTCGAAAGGAAAAACTCCGATAATCACCCTTCCGTCGAACGATACGAAAATGATATGCCGTAGTGTCGTCGCCACTGTAACGCCAGTGTATCCAGAATGATTCGTCGATTATAATTCGATAGTTATTGCGTCTCACGATAGTCGTATACACTGGAAAAATCGTATAAAAAACATCGAGACGATCGCTCGTAAAAAAGACCAACACGGTACACGTTGACGGAGAAAAAGTGGAATCAGAGAAGTCTTTCAACGGTTTTAAAATTGTAAAATGGCAGTTATTTAATTAACGGTCGGTCCATTCGCTAATCTATTATCCACGGCGCGCGGGTGTAGAGCTATTATGTATCCATCCGTTCCGACGTTTCCTCGAGTCTAAGCTAATCGAATAAATACTGTGGAAGAAAGAAGTATTCCTAGGCTAGGCGTCGTCCCGTTGCGACGATGACTGCGCGCCTTCTCGCCGCTCGATAGGCCTTGCCAGTAAAGCATTAATAACTATAGACAACACCTCTGATCGCCGCGGCCTGATATGCCGAAGTTATTCATAAAACGTATAACTACAAAACATGCGGAACGCGGATCATAGAAATATTATATGACATTAAGGTAATAACGGGACTAGTGGCGAACGAGCGAAATGAAAGCTATACAGGGTGTCCAGGAAAATGTCTATCCGAAAGTAGGAGATTCCTGAGGTGATTTCGAGCAACTTTTTCCTTTACGAAAATTTTCTCCGAGGCGTCGTTTACGAGTTATTGACGAGCAAGCGGTGGCCAATGAGGGGCGAGCTCGGCTGACGCGAGGCGGCGCGAGACGGCCGAGCCAATGAGCGGAACCGAGCTCCGCGCGCTCGTTGGCCGGGCCGCCGCGCGCCAGCCGCGCTCGCCTCTTATTGGTCACTGTTTTTCGCTAATAACTTGTAAACGAAGCCTCGGAGAACATTTTCGCAAAGGAAAAAGTTGCTTCAAATGACCTCAGGAACCACCCAGGTTTGCGAGAAATTTTCGGGACATCCTGCATAAACGAATAATACGAGTCGAAGGTAGAAATGTCACGTATGAGGTAAACGATTCACGTATCAGGCCAGGCAGAGAGGTGTTACACCTAGAAAAATCGGCGAACTTTTTAACTAGCTTGCGACTGTATCACTGGAGCACCTCTATGTAAAACCGAAGCGGGCCGAGACTTTCGGCCGCCGGTGGTGGCTTGCAGATTCGCCGGCGGCGGCTGCAACTGTTGCTGAGCAATCTGCTGAACGATAGCGGACTCCCTCTTCGGCACTTCCGGCGGCGATTGCAGCACGTCCATGTACTCGCGGATCAGATTTGCTATTTGATGGGCCTAAGATCAGACGATAAAACGCATCAGAGAGAACATATCCGGTGATACACCGTTACCGCGGCGGTATCGTTCTTCCAATTTACCTGGGACGTGGTGAGAATGACCTTGCTCTGCTTCTTATCGGTGCCGGTTATGATCATCAAACAACTAACGGCCGGGCTGTAACTGAGAATACTGCTATACTCGTAGGTGCAAAGAGCATTTCTGGAACGATGCTCGAGAAGATGAAGACCCTGCTGATCGACGGCCAGCCAAAGGACGCGCGGCCAGTTCGAAGTGAAGGACTGCATCACGTCGAATATCGTAGCTCTGTGCAACGGCCACGACTGTATCAAATTCAAGAACGCTTTCTTCGCCTCCGGCGGCGTCATTCCCCTCAGGGACTGATGGTGCTGAAGAACACCCTCTAAACATAAACTCGGCACTAGTCTCGCGGGCAGGCAGTGGCTTGATATGGTGCGGTAATCATGGTCGAGCACGGCGTCTTGACAATCGCCTAGCTCCAGCTGAGCTTGCAACGCTGTCAGCATCATCTGGAAATACGTGAAAAGCTCAGCAACGCCACGTTCCTCCTTGACACACAATCGTAAACATAACTCTTTCTTACAGCTTCTTTCTCGGTGATGGGGAACCGATCGGCGCGCAGGTCGTGCAACACCTGATGATACAACAGCTCCTTCTCCACCGGATCGTCGAGATTCATGTACTGATCGAGGAACAAATGCTTCTTGAACAGGAAGAAGTGGTGCGCGTGTTTCCTCTGCGACTGGTTCTGTTGCGCGTTCGCGGTCCTGTAACGCTCCCACTTCGACATCACGTCCGCGATCTTCTCTTCAGGTATCAGCGCCCTTTCCGTCGCTCCCAGGACCTCGTATATGGCGTAACCTGCGCGAGTTAGAATTTAAATAAGTAATACAAATACAAATAAAGCGTGAGAATTTATAGTAAGGAGCGCTCTTCGACAACAATTACCCATCGCCGTCTCCTCGAGGCCGATCTTCGTCTTAATGATCTCCATCACGTCCCTGGCGGTCGCCGACGGATGGAACTCGACGGCGTGATACTGTCCGTCCATGAAGTGGAATCTCGCGTAAATAGGCCTGCGATTAATGGTGCACATGATCTCCTCCCTGCTCGGCGGCCACTGCCTCCTCCTCGTGCCCTGCGTCTTGTAAAGGCACTTCTCAGCGAATCGAGCGTACTTGCCCTCCTCGGTGACGTAGTCGCTGGCGCACCGCTTCAAGTGGGCGATCAGATACTTCCGGATGACCTTCTGCGGCGGCAGGATCACGGAACAGGCCAGAGACAGCAGCGCCCAGTGCCTTAGGTTCACCCGACTGTTCGGGTCAGGATGGTCGGTGGTCTGTTTAATTAATTGTAAATACAGCTCGCCTAACAGATTCTCTTTCCTTATGCAACGCTCCATGACCGTCTGTATCAGATTCACGTGCTCGTCCTCCACCCTCCGGACGGTGTCGCCGTTCTGGCCAAGACCCGCGTACGTCAATATCAACTGGAACACGCTGAGCGATATTTGCTCGTCCGGGTCGGGCAGTTTCGAGAGACTCTGCGGTATCGCCTGCCTGCTGAACGCCCAATAGGCGTACGGGAAGCCTTTGTAGGTCTCGCCGTGATCGGTCGCGCTCCCGTGCTCCTGACGCAGTTTCTCTATTCGGTGCTTGGACAGCCTTCTAAGGGTGTTCCTGAGGAAACCACCGCCCGAGTCCTGAGGTTTCCTCAGTATCTCCGCGTCGACCAGCGTCCGTCGGCAATTCACTAAATTATGATAGAGCCTGATGCGATCCTCGTTCGTGATACACTTGAGCTTCTTGGTGGGGACCTCGTTCTCCGTGATCCAGCCGGCCAACGACGGGCAATAACTGACGATCAGGCTGCCTATCTCGTTCTTCTGCGCCGTCTCGAACACGAAGCATTTGTGCGAGCTGTCCGGATTGTGTCGGAGCAGGGACAGAGTGATGAAAGAGTCGCTCGGGTCCAGCATGATACTCTCCACGTCTTGGTAGCGATATTCCGATAGGACGAACTTGTCGTCCGGCTTGATCAGCATCAAGCCGTCGCAATTAATGCCCAGGATCAATTGATTGCCGTAGGACCAGTAGCCGCGGTAGGTGACGTTGAACATCGTCGTGCCGTACAGAGGATACTGCATCACGCAGGACAAGTACAACACTTTGGCTGCCAGTTCCTTACGGCCGGCGCCGTATTGTCTGTGCGCCTGTGCTATTATCGGCACCCAAACGTCGTCGCCGCGGGCGCGACTTATTCGATAAGGCAGAAAACTGTCCACCTCGCTGTAATAGTCCAGCCGATCGTTGTCTTTCGGATCGCCCAGAGACACTTGGGCCTGCAGACCCGCCAACTGCAGCGCGACCTTCTCGGACACCGGGAAATCGTCGCACTGAAAGTTTAAATATTCAATAATGTAATATATATATTTTATATTATTATATTAATATTATATTATATTATTATATATAATAATATAATAATATATATATGTATGTATATATGTATTATATAATATTAAGCGTTTGTTCCCTCATGTTGTTCTTTTGTACAGCCATACCTTGACCACGTTGTAAACAGCCTGAGCGTACAGCATGTTCACCTCGACAGGATCTTGAGAGATTTCTCGGGTGTTGCGGAACAGTCTACGTTTGAAGACGAATCGATTGTCACCGCTGCCCAACGTAGCATTATTGCCACGCCGCAGCGTTGAGAAGGTTGACTGCGCTGTGTTCAATTTACACTGCTTCCTGAAAAAGCGCCGAACGAAGACGGTTAGTTTCTTTTTTATCTTTAGGATCGTTTATAATTGTATTCATTATTTTTTGCCAGCATTTCTTTTTAAATGCATTCTCTCTAAATATATGTGACAATTTAAATTAATTGCCGGAAACTATCCATCAATTTTTGTCAACATTTCTTTTTAATGTACTCTCTCTAAATAGACATGATAGTTTAAATGAATTGTCAGAAACTAGATAGAAAATATATTCCACACAAAAAGGTACAAATAGTTGTAACGACAAATGCTTAATTTATTTAATCGAGTTATTAACGAAAAACGTGGATAGACATACATTTCCCAAGCAGCGATGACGTCGTACAAATAGTCGTGGGCGCGCACATGTTCTTCTCCGTCGGGTCTGCTCTGATAGATTGCCCATCCCTCCAGAGACCGCAAGCCTAATTTTTCACCTAGTTTCGCCACTGCGTCTGCAGCGGTGTCGGTCGGATGAACGTCGATCGCTTTGGTTCTTCCATCCAAGAAGAAGAAGCGGCACACTATGGTGCCTAATCGTCTCATCGCAGCAATTTCCACTGTTGACGGCGGATGCTGTCTACACGAGACCTTCATGTTCTTACAATTATCGACGCACCATTGCACGTACTGCCTCAATTTCCCTTCGAGGGCTAGATTCTTCTTCAAGAAGGACACGAAATATTTGTACAGCAATTTGCTGGGCTGGAAAGCAACAATCGCTAGACACAACAGCAACCAGACACGTTCCGCCCATTCTGGATTAGGATTGTTCGTCGCTTGACGCATGCACTGAACGAAAACCTCGTCCCGCAGTTCTTCGCGTTCTATGCCGTAGCCAATTATGCTCTGTATGGTTGCGATCTCCTGGTCTAGTTTCATCTCTCCTCTGAGGTACTTGCAGAGATCCTGAAAGCCAACGAAATATATGTAACGCCTATTACATAAATAATAGACATAGATTATATTATATGTATAATAGATCTATTATATAATAGATCAATATACAATATCAAGGACGGTTTTCAAAGCGACAATTAAACACCATCCTTAGCGAAAATGCAATTCGCGGCTTCGTTTACGAGTTATTAACGAAAAACACTGACCAATGAGAGGTGAGCTCGACTGGCGTGCGGCGGCCCAGCCAACGAGTGCGCGGACACCCAGTTCTGCTCATTGGCTCGGCCGTCTCGCGCCAAACGATCTCGCCTCTGATTGGTCACTGTTTTTCGTTAATAACTCGTAAACGAAGCCGCGAATTGCATTTTCGCTAAGGAAAAAGTTGCTTCAAATCACCTCAGGAACCCCCTCCTTCCGATTTGCGACACTATATAATAGATCTATCAGAATAAATCTAATAGATGTCTATAATAGATCTATCACATAAATTATATATTTAAGAGTATCAATATCGCTTACCCTGAACACCGAACAGGCCACGTTAACGTTATCAGGGTCGTACATGTGAATATGAGAATTCGGTATCGTGGATCCCTTATAGTACGTAACCATTTCATACTTCGGAATGTACTCCACGCTTTTGCCGCGCGATTTCCTCGTGAGCGTAGCGATAATTGTCCCCTCGGGCGATCTTTCATGGCTGTTGAAGTAATTCTGCGCGAACTCTACGATATCGTGATAAGTAACTTCGTTGTCCGGCTCTTTCTTGTCCTCCAGCTCCTGAAGCTTGCGTTCCACGCGACACTTGCGTCTCTGTTCCCGTTCGACGGGCGGCTGTTGCGACTGTTGCGTCTGCGGTTGCTGTTGGTCGTGGCCGTTTTGCTGTTGCTGAGGCACCGGCTGATGATGATTATGGTGCAAATGATGACTGTTCGAGTTTCTGGATTCCGGCCGCGACGGTGGACTGCTGGCGATTTGCTCCTTCATGGTCTTGTTGTTTGGCAGAGGAGGAGGGGGGGATCCGCAGGTGTCGCCGTTCACCAGCGGGCCGGAATTTCCGTTCACCACGATGGGACTGCTGGGACTGTTGTCCTCGCGCGGCAAAACGGACTCGTAAATCGGTTCCCCGTTGTCGGTGGAGGAGTCTCCGTTTATGGCCAAGGGTGGAGCAGGAGGCGGCGGAGGCGGAGGGGGTTCAGTGGGTTCTGGAAGACTCGGTTGGCCAAGCTTGCCGGTGGTCCCACCGGTTATCCTCTGCTGCTGAGGCTGCGACTGCAGAGGCGACGGAGCGTCCTGACCGTTTGGAGTATTAGCTTTGGACTCTGCTTTTGAGTTCATCTCCATCTCTTGCTGTATCACAGTTTCTAGCTCCACGTCGAGGTCCTCCACCAGCTCGTCCATCTGCTCCCCGATTTCCTCGATGATCTGATTGCCTTTCGTTGACTGCACGTCGGAGAGGAATGAGAACAGATTGTCCAAGTCGACGGACTGCAGATCCGAGGCGGCCATTTTCGAGTTCATTTGTTCGGCCATCTGCGACAACGCGGCGATCTCTTCCTGCGCTTTCCTGTAATAATAAACGTTTCCCATGTAACATTGGACTCGAGTATTGTTGCGCGTGTTTTTTTTTAGTGTTCAAGGTTTTTTTAGTGTTCAAGCGCACAGATCAGACAAATGCGAGACGCGTGCTATAGTGGTGCGTGTAGTATAGTCGTTAAGCTCCGTGTGTGTCTGTGTGTTAAGAGAAATTACTTATTGCAGAGCTTGTCATGCGGCAAGGGCCTTCGAACTACCGGCGAACTTACCCGGGCTCCATTCCGACAATACCATTGTACTGTGCGCTACAAGGGACACAAATGGAGAATTAACCCACTAAAGAACCATCATCCCGTGCGAAAGTCTCACTCTGTATATTTTAGCAGATTGAAATTTATGCGCAGAACTTATGGAATGCAGGGAAAGCTCTTATAACAACGGTTATAAGAGTTGAATTATTATTACACTTTAAATTGCACACTGTATTAAGAATTATTTTTACTAAAAGTTCTACAATATCAAGGACGGATTCCAATGCGACAATTAAACATCATAGCTATATTAAATGTTGAACTTGTTATACGTTGATTTTGGTAAACGTATAAAGAACAAAATTTTCATAGAACTTCAGTTTGAAACATCTTATTGTACAGCGACCATTTATAGTAATGTCTCTCTAATTGACGCTCAGATTGTCCACAGAGATGGACAATTTTTATAATTACAAATTGTCAACAATTAAATAAAAACGAGCCGCGAGGCTCGAATAATCGTATCTCCTCTTCTCAAATTGTCCATTTTTCTGCAGAATCTGAGCGTCAGTTAGGGCGACATTACCGTAGCATGCAATTTATGGCTGGTAGAAACAGGTGGCACGTTTCACCGACATTCTTTTCATCCCTTTATAAGTTGTGCGCAATACTGGTGAACCATTCTTTGATATCGGCATACGAGAAAACTTTCCCGGCATTCTATGTAACACGAGACGCGGACAAGTTTTATACCTCTGGCTCTCTTCCAACGCTTTCTTGTCCTCCATAAGTCGTCTCTCCTCCTCCAATCTCTCCCTCTTCCTCATTTCCTCATCCACTCGCCTCATTTCCCTCAACGCCGCCGCCACTTCTCTAGCGAACACGCCGCGCAAGTGACTCTGAATGACGATCGCTGCCCTCCGCTTCCTGATGAACATTATTCTCAGCTTCCAGCCGCGATACGCGTGCTGTACCTTGAGCGCGGCGTCTCTGATACGCTTGTATTCTACAAAAAAAAAACCCAAGGATAAATAGTCTAATAATCTATTCTCCTTTTTAGAATAATTTACCCTAATGAGGAAAGAGGCAAAGGTACCTTTGCGTACAACAGAGCCCCGCCAGATCTTCTGTATCATTATAGCATTGCTAGTGACCATCTGATTTCTAGAATCCTCCAGCGGCTCGTGCACGTAGCTCCTCAAGAACACTTTGGTCTTCCCGATTTGCCACTCGGTCTCCGGTATGCCCTGACTACCGATCAAACATCTCACGGTCTCTTTCTCATCGTCGAACCGTGGCATACGTCCTTTGTCGAGGCATATGTATCTAGCAACAAAGTCGTGGAAGGCCATATGTATCGGGAAACCTTCTTTCCTAATCCTAATGATGTCCAACATGCCCAGATATTTCAGCTGATCAAGGACCAGCTTCTCGTCATAATGATTCGCTATCTTCTGCATGTTGGGCTTGATACATCTAGCGTACCAAGGGGTGGTGGCTTGAAGGACGTCGACCAGGGCTTGCAACTGGTGCCTAAACGAGTCGCAGAGGGTCGGCTTGCCCTTGGACGTTCCGCGGGACATCGTGGTGGCGCTTCCGCTCGCCCTTGCCACGGTGCACCCTAAAAGATCTTGGTAGACCGTGATCTCCTGCACGAATTCGTTGGTGCTGCGCGACATCAGGTCAAAGAACACGTCCTGCTGCACGTCCCGATTCTTGTCCACGAAACCCTCCACCGTGTAGGTGACGCAGCCGGCGTAATGCTTCACGCCGAACTCCTTCTCCCATTTGCGGCGGTCGTCGCCCTTCACGTAGCACGAATGGCTCTCAAATTCGGCGTGCAGATTGGTCAGGTAAGCCAGGTCCGAGCCTTTCGGCATATGGCACTGCTCCGTCAGTAACTTAAGAACACAGCGCGGAGGTTTCTCGATTAATTCCAGGCACATGGTGTTGTCCGTGAAGGTGATATGGGAGTATTGGATCTCTTCCTGGCGGTACTGAAATTTCAAACGTTGCCGGCGTTAGGGTAATTCGCTTCGACGGACGGTGTATGTTGTTTCGGGGTGTCTTTTTGTTACAATTCATGCTTTTCATAATAATCTTTCATAGTAATGCTTGATTACCGATACTGATTTTAACCCTTTGCACTCAGAGGCCCCGCTAAAATTTGTTGTATCACATTCTAAGATAATTTCTGTGTTAACAAAGTTTAGGATTTAAAAGATCAATTTGAAAGCGTAACTGTTGTGTGAGTAGCAAGACACAGTTTCATTCGCATGAAATGCACTTTGGCGTAGAAAATGAGAATACTGTAAGTCAGAAAGATTATTTCAGGTTTACGGTTCAAGTAGCTTCGAGTGCAAAGGGTTAATAGTTCTTATACAAAATTCACTTAAAAATAAAAGACTTCAAGAAATCAATTTGAAAGCGTAACTGTTGTGTAAGTCGCAAGACACAATTTCATTCGCATCAAATGCACTTTGGCGTAGAAAATGAGAATACTATAAGTCAGAAAGATTATTTCAGGTTTACGGTTCAAGTAGCTTCGAGTGCAAAGGGTTAATAGTTCTTATAGAAAATTTACTTAAAAATAAAAGACTGAAGAATTCATTCGAGTTTACAATGATTATTGGACTGTCGAATTTTCTGCAGATATCTGTTTCCATTTTATGTGAATCATTAGGACAAAGAATACCATGGCCCATAATATAGAACAGTATTAATAAACTGGTCAATCGGCATATACATAATTTCAGTCTATTTGTTTAGCTTTTATTTTTTCTCAGTGCTTATAGAGAATTTATTCAAATTTAGCTACCAACTTACACATTTGCAATGATAAATAAAAATCGTTGTTTTAACGCGTGACTTCTAGGTTCTTAGTAGTTACAGTAAGGTGTGAAAAGAAAAGCTTCTTCTAAAGACTGTACAGAAAGGAAAAAAAGCGAAGTATAAACGACAGTTTTTGAGTAGGGCTCGACGATGTCAACAAACTTGTCCTCAAAAGACTTCCTTTGACACAGCTGACGAATACATCAGTTCAGAAGGGCTTATAAGGGGTTATGTCAAGGTTTTTGTCACAATCACGTTTTTCATACCAACTGTATTACTAACACACAGTCCGGTTTTGTTATTAATATTTCTCATGAAAATTTACTTAAAAATAAATGACTGAAGGTAACAGAATTAATTCAAGTTTCCAATAATTATTGGACGAATTTTATGCAGATATTTGTTTCCAATTTATGTAAATTGGTATTATAAAAAATACCCCATGGCCAATAATAAGACAGTATTAATGAACTGGTCAATCAGCATGTACATAATTTCAGTCTCTTTGTGTTTAGCTCCTATTTCTTTTCAGTGCTTATATAGAATTTATTCAGATTTAGCTAGCAACTTATACATTTGCAATGATAAATAAAAATCGTTGTTTTAACACGTGACTTTTAGCTTCATAATAGTTACAGTAACGTGTAAAAGGCAAAGGTTCTTCTAACGACTGTACAGAAAATAAAAAAGCGTAGCAAAAACGACTCTTTATGAGCAGACCTCGACAATGTCAACAAAAGCTTGTCTTCGAAAGTGTTCCTCGGCACAGCTGACGGATACATCAGAGTCCTTAAGAGCTTACAAGGGGCCCCGGACGGTAAAGTAATTAGAAAAGCGCCTAGAGCGTCTGTGGGCAGCGCGATAAGCATCTGACTGGCCGATCTGTTCGACGACAACCTCTGTAACGACTGCTTCAATATTATCAGTTGCACCCTGAGCTATAAATGAACCGAGTGGAAAATAGGGTCGGATCATCGTGGTGGTAACCCACTTACTAGTTCTTGCTCCAACGCGAATACATAGTGATTGAAAAACTTGTGCAGCTTCTCGTTGGTGTAATTGATGCAGAGCTGCTCGAAGCTGTTCACGGCGAAGTTCTCGAAGCCGAATATGTCGAGGACGCCGAGGAATCTGGAGCTGTCCTGGCCGGGATTCGTGCAGTTGTTGATGTGGTTGATCAGCCAGGCGAACGTACGCGAGTACAACGCCTTCGCCATCGCGTGCCGGTTCTCCCGGGCCTCTTGCACCTTCAACGGTATCTCGGTGATGTTGCCGCGGACGTTTATCTGCCTTATCAGGACCACCTTCGTTAGATCCTCGACCTGGAGGCCGAGCAACGGCGCCACCGTCCCGATGATCTCGACGTCTTCTTTAGTCAGCTCGCAACGCTCGCCGTCCACGTCCTCGAAGCTCAAGTTGCCCAGCCAGAGAATGGCGGACAGCACCCGGAAGATGCCCTCGCACATCTCTGGCGCGACCTAGAAACGCACAGAGAAGTTGAAGAAACTTGCAGATTAATTTTCTGTTTTCTTTTTTTAATTAAAGGATTCGACAATTGAAAAGTTCGATAATTGAAAGAATTCGATAATTGAATAGTTCAATAATTAAAGGGTTCGGTAGTTGAACAGTTCGAAAATTGAAAGGATTCGATAATTGAAGGATTCGACAATTGCACAGTTCAATAATTAAAGGGTTCGACAATTGAACAGAGTTCAATAATTGAAAAATTCGATAATTGAAAAGTTCGATAACTGAAAGAATTCGATAATTGAATAGTTCAATAATTAAAGGTTCGACAATTGAACAGAGTTCAATAATTGAAAAATTCGATAATTGAAAGCTTCGATAATTGAAAAATCCAACAATCTCGAGACGCTTAAATAAGCATAATTAACGAACGAACTCCGCGGTTGAATCATCGAACGTATCGATGAGCAGCAATTAACACCGATCTTCTTCCACGATTGACTTCACAATAAAGTCGAGCTTAATTACCTGGAGCACGTTGAACGCGAGCCTAAGCGCGTCCAGTTTCTTCGAATCGGAGATCCCATCGATCTTCACGCAGCCGGACTGATTGAGATACTTGTAGTGGGTGGCTGGCATCAATTTGTATTGTTCCGCGAATTCCTTGTCCCTCGTACCCGCCTCGACCAGCTGATAGAACACATGGTAATTCCTCTCACCGGCGCTCTGGAAAGTTATGCGGCTCTGCTCGAGCAGGTAATCCTGGATGATGCATCCTTTGATCATCCACTTGCTGTCGAAGCAGACTTGCATGAACTTCCCGAAACGGGAGCTGTTGTCGTTTCTCACTGTCTTCGCGTTACCTGGTTTCGAACATAAACGTTACTTGTTTATAATGAATATATGGACTGGTATATTGGATTATGCAGTTGTTATTTTTACGGATCGAATTAAAGACGATTGGATTGCACGATGATGTCTGTCAGGCTATCTTAAATATATAATAAATATATGTTAAAAATATATTGCTATTTTTAATTTATTTATGTTAATTTATTTTTGACAGGATTCGATATGCTTTCATGCATCCACGAAGTTTCAGATTAAAAGTTATTTATTAAAAATTCGATAATTAAAGGGTTCGATAATTGAACAGTTCAATAATTGAAAAACTTGATAATTGAAAAGTTCTATAATTGAAAAAAACTCAATAATTGAAAAGTTCGATAATTGAATAGTTAGATAATTAAAGGGTTCGATAATTGAACAGTTCAATAATTGAGAAATGAAATAATTGAAAAATTCGATAATTGAACAGTACAATAATTGAAAAATTCGATAATCGAAAAGTTCTATAATTGAAAAAATTCGATAATTAAAAAGTTCGATAATTGAAAAATTCGATAATTGCATAACAATAACTAATAATAATTCGATTTATATATTTTTCTGAAACAGCAGCGACGTCGACGACGTTTCTTCGTGCATCGTTCCGCGTCGCGTCGTGTCGCGTCGCGGGGGAAATGCAAACGGTACAATTTTTATGATAACCCCTCGAATCTTTCTTCCGCCGTTGACCCAGTTTTCACCCCTCGGCTCTGCGTTTAACACCTGACTCGTTCCTCGGCCTCTTGACTCCGAGTCATGAATTCCCTTTATTTTTAAATGCCATTAAGAATAGCGTTCGTCGACCCGTTTCATGAAACTCGCCTGTTTACGTCCGCCTATTTCGAGGGTTGCGTTTTTTAAAGCGAGCGCCGGATACCCTCGAAAAGTATATCCAAGCCGCAGCTGAACGCTCCTGAAAGACGGTCTGAAGCGGTTGCGAGACACGATGAATGAGTGCCTCCGTGCCTCGACCGAAAACGACGATATCAAATGGGCGCACCTATTTCGTCTAATTCGCCAGACAGTCCTCCTTTCGTAATTGAACCCTCGGATGCGAGAACGACCCGAGGGCACTCGAGCCCTTCTTCCGTAAAACGTATAAATCGATTTTTCATTTTATTCTAAATATATACGGTAATGTCTCTCTAATTGACGCTCTCGGATCAATGTCTCTCTTATTGACGCTCTCGGATTAATGTCTCTCTAATTGACGCTCTCGCATTAATGTCTCTCTAATTGACGCTCTCCGATTAATGTCTCTCTAATTGACGCTCTCGGATTAATGTCTCTCTTATTGACGCTTTCTGCTCGAAAATTAGCGTCATTCACGGAGTAAATATTAGTTTACATTACTTTATAAAAGTTACAAAATTATATTAATATAATTATTATATATATATATAATATATAACATAATACATTATATATATTATAATTATAATATAATTATATTGATTTAAGTTACTTTATAAATATATTAGTTCATGAATGCTACAAAAAATTATTTCAAATTAGTCCATATTAATTCATATTAGTTCACAAAAGCAACAATAAGTTCATAGCAACATTTGCCGCTCGCAACATAAAGATTGTACAAAATTCGCATCTTAATAATCGCGAATTAATTCAATGCCATAAATCTAGCGTCGAAGATCCGAGCGAAAAATCGAAAGAAGAAAAATCAGAAAAGACGATCAACCCTCCACATGCACCCTCAACGTCGCTTCAATGTTTCGCATAAACGGGACACCCCCCCTCCATTTTCTAAGCGAATTTCCGCGAGTTTTGGTCGGCCGACCAAGGAAGGAAGTTATGGGGGTTGCACGGGGGTGGCCGCGCGACAACAAGCCGAAACAGATCGCAAGCTCGAATCGACGGTAAACTCGCGGAGAGAGGGAGAGAGAGAGAGAGAGAGAGAGAGAGAGAGAGAAGATACAATTAACCCGGTAAATTGGTCGTTAACGGAGCTGCTAATTACCGAACGCTTCGAGGATGGTGTTCGCCTCGAGGATCTGCTGCTCCACCCACGTGTCCACGTTGCTGGTCACCGAGCACAGGTATTGCAGAATGAATTTCGTGGTCTCGGTCTTCCCCGCGCCGCTCTCCCCCGATATCACGCAGGATTGATTGCTCTCGGTGTCCTGGAGCGACCTGTAAGCCGCCTCGGCGAGCGCGAACACGTGCGGCTCCAGGGAGCCCATCTTTTGTCCATGGTATCTATTCACGTACTCCTGAAAAAAAGAATGGTTCACTGGTATCTTTTTTCTTTGATTTCCTTTTTTTCTGTTTCTTGGGACTATGAAATCGCGTACGAGCTATGAAATGAAATTGGATAAATTACATTTCTAGAATATTTGAATAATATTTCTATTATTTTTATATGATATTTCTATTATTTTCAAATAATATTTCTATACTTTAATTGCCCTTTAAAGGGCTGTAGTAATGTATTTAATAAATATAATATAATACAATATATTCTGTAATATAATATTTTATATATATAATATATAATATAATATTATTATAATATAATACAATATTATTATAATATTTTATAGTTACGAATTAT